ATAAAGTTCTGATTTTCAGCCAAAACATCTGGCCGCTCTAATACTTACAGGCACGCTGCAATAATATAACACGATCTGCAAGTGTGCCTTTCTTATCTCCTGTTCAGCTGGATCGAACTCAGCATGTTTGTCCAAGTCAAAATATATCATTATGTAGGCTAATAGCTGGGAAGGTCTGAATTAGAAGAGCCATCTGCGCTGCAGTCGTGGATGACAAACAAACACTAAAGTTAAATATCTAAATGTCTTCTGTTGCTTTTTGTGTGTGTGTGTCTATGTTTGCACAGGGTTTACAGTCACTTCTATAGAAAACTTTTCATCTTTTCCTGTACTCGTGAATTTCTGTGCTCACATGCTGGTAATATTTCCACATTTACACTTGGTAATATCGTCATTTTGCGACCCACTGGCACCTGCAGTCTTATTTAGCTTTCAGGCTGGTCAGCACAGCTTTCCATCCGTGACCTCAAACAAAAATTCTGCTTTGCAAAGAAAATCTTCCTCCTTATAAACAGAAACCAGCGGGCGATGTCAACTAAACGCCTTGACTGGACATGCAAGCAATCATTCAATGTCAAATATTTGCTTAACAGAAGTTTTTTCGGGGTTATTAGGTGAATCACTCAAGCTTAAAACGATTGTGGTCATGGGGAAAGGAACTGTTGAGAAACAGGACTTAAACCCTCGTTTTTGATGGCGAGCTGACCTCCAAACTTCACATTTCACTGCACTCAAACGTCACACTGCTTCCTTACTCGGCACTAAAGATAAACACAGAGCTGATTTTAGCTGTTTGAGCAGAGGGGCGGCGGCAGCCATGTTTCAGTCCCTCAGCGCACCTTCGCATCCTCAGCTGCCAACTCAGACCCCGACACACTCCAGCGACGCACGGTGCACTTGTTACCCCAGATCGCTATCGGTGCTACTTGCCTGTGCTTCAGTGTAATCGAGGCTGTTTGGCGACCCCACCCCAGCGCCCCCCACCCACTCTTCTCCCCTCTGTCCCCTGTGAAGTCACCCAGAGGGCCAGATCACAGCAAAGCCAACATGTGGTTTGAGTTAGCGTCTTAGAAACCAGCCCTCCATACGTGGGGTTGTGTGCGTAATCCCAGGGCTCGCTGGTCAGGCTCTGCTTGTGTAGTGTGCAATTGTGAGCGCAGAGCTAATTGTGTTTGTGTGTGTGACTGTTTTTATAAATATATGCCAGGTTTTGTGAGTCTTAAAAGGAAGTACTATTTTGCGTGTGGTTGTATCCTCACACAGGAAGTCAGCATGCTCTGTCTCTGGGGACTGAACAAAACCAAGAACTAATTTTAAATCTCAAGAGTATTTAGTCGCGCTCTCACACATAAGCCGCATATTTCTGTCCATACTGTGTCTGTTTCGGCCTCTCTGGCTCTGCTGGTTGGACTGCGCAGCAGCCAGGTGGAGGTTTTGGCTTTCATCAAACTTTTATCTGCACGGCATCTCAGGAAGCAGAGCAGGAGGGAGAAATGAACCGGCTCGTTCCAGCTATTTTCTCCTTTGCTGATTATTTGATTAAGTTCTCGCTGAGACAAAGCATCAGATTTTTCCCCTCTCTCTTTAGTCCAGGTTAGCTCGATTTACTCGCTCACACTAAAGTCCCTAAGAAAGGCCATTCGAATTTGTGACCGCTCCGATAGGCATCTCCCCACTTGTAAAATCATTTTCTGATTGAACAGAGCGATGCTTGTTCAATCTGAATCCGAATTGAAGCAGACTAAACATAATAGCACTGGAATCACTTTAATTGGTTAGTGAAAATGAGTAATAGTGGCGTCAGCATGCGTGAAGAATGATGAACATGATAAGGTCAATCAACCAGGATAACATCGGCAGCTGATGGGAATAAAAGCATGAAAACATTGCTGAAAATCAGGTGGTACTTATTAAAAATGAATCACCTGTCAGTGTTTAGCAGTCATAACAAGTGAGTTAAAGCCAGAGTCTGAAGCACTTTTTACACATGAACTCGTTGGCAGCATCAGGAAGGAACAATTTTCCATTATGGAGAGTATTTAAAATGAAAGAAAATTTATTATTGACACATAATCAGGGGCATAGTCTGGGTTATCAAAGGTGGGGAGGGATCCATAGGAAATCATAATATTTGTCATGCATGCATACACATGTTTTAATGAAAAGGGGTGATGCAAATATTAAAATGATGATACAAAAGGTCTGATAATAGGTAACTAAAGCTTTAAGATAAACAGCATGGAGTGCAATATTTATGAAATACTGTGGAACAGATGAAGAAAATAGCACAAATACTTAAATAAATTACATTAAACTGATTTCAGGAAAGTCTTTAAGGAAATGTAATCACTTACACTACAGTCCTATCCATGCTCTGCCTGGTGATACTGGTCTCATTTTAAGATTAATAGTACTTTAGCCAATGGAACTGGTGTCTCCAACTTGTCTTTTGTTGGCATTTGTTTATCATTATATCAAAAACTAGTTAATTTAGTTTGATCTAAAGTCTAATTTTGATCAGGGTTCATGTTTTTTTAATCATTTCTTGAAATCCTGGCATTGCTTAAACCCATGTTCATAGATTTTGTCCATGTGCTCGACCCAATCACCTGCACACGATGCTCATGTATGCTGATGTATTGACTTGAGCACATGGGATTATCCCTGCGATTCATTTCTTGATTTTTTAGGGAAATACAGACATTCATGTGCTTTTCAAGACGGAGCATCAAGCTGATTTTCAGTTTAGGCAAAGTAAATCTGTTTTCTCTCCAAACACGTTTTTTAAAAATATCTGTGCAAAAATGTGATAATGAAACACAAAAGAAACAATGATGCCAAACCACAACTAACTTTAAACACTAGTTAAACCTTTGAAAAATGTCACTATTGGGAATAACAAATTAGGTTTTGCAACGAGACCCCTGCAAGAAAAGTGATCTACACCAGAGCCAAATGTGCTCTGGGCACTCTGGCCTGAACTTTGCTCCGCTGGTTACTGGCCGTCCCACTGGGACCAATCTGTTTGTTGGTCCAGCGGTATATTTATCAACTCCTTCTTCTCAGTGGCACTGACATCCTGAGGACGTGGAGACTGAGGCACGAATGGATGGCTGGATGGATAGATTATTTATTTGTCGGGGTTGAAGATTACAGCATGGCAGTGCGAGCTGGCATGGGTTGATATTCCCAGAGATGGAGAGTCCTGCGTCTTTATATACCAGACCCCCTGACATGTTTTATTAACATGTTTGATTTGGTGAACTTGATACACTGAGTGGGTGGCTTTCCAGAATAAAACAACTCACTGCTGAACTGTGGAAAGACTCAGCACAAGTCATTTTATTTTAGCCGTGACGTCAAACTTACTCATTAGCTTTTCATCACATACTCGTCTTTTCTGTTTTATTGGCTCTGTGTCTTTTTACCCATGCATTGCCCTGCACCTGTATGAACACTCGTGGGTTCCAGATGATGAATCCCAGTGGTTGTAGCTGAGACAGACACTCAGCAAATACTGAATAGTATACTGGGATAACACCAAAAATGGCAGTTTCCCCATCAGTGTCCCCGAAGAGCAAATCAACAGCAAAAATGAACAAGTCGTCCACGACTAAGTCCAAGTTAAAGTCTTTAATCCAGCAGAAATGTTGTGAAAAGACAAAAGTGAAGCATTTATGGGAGGACACTCGCCAACATCGTGAATGTTTTCTGGGCATTATAAAGGACTAAAAGTGGATCACGCCAAGTAATAAAAACAAAGGCTCTTAAACTGTTACCCTCACAGATAATAATAATATCGGATCCTTTTCTTAAATAAACAAAAAGTCCAATGTTTTAATTTCCTTTCATTAGTTGGTTTGTCTTTTTCTAGGACGTCTAGGACTAAAATCTGATGGTGCTGCGTTCATATTTATGCAGAAATTTGCAATATTTCAGCTGCTCTGGATCCTGTGGGTTGAACATTGGTTCCTCATTGGGTTGGCTCATCCTACAGGGTTTCAGCCTCAGTCCTGAGTCACTGGCTTGAATACTGTGTGCTGTTTTTCTTAAAGCTGTTAGCATGCTGATTACCACTACAAACTTGAAATACTGGAAGGGTTTGTGGTTGGAGGGTAGGGGTTTATAGAGCGTGCAGGATAGAGGACATGTTGTTCTCTTGCTGTATGATCCACAATATTCTAATTTCACTGTACTATTGTACGAAGTATGACTGTGCAATAAAGAGTTATCTTATGCTCCCGAGTTTGGGCTCACTGATCTCATGTTTCTGGCCAAGAAGCTTGTTTTAATGCATCCAACTAACAGCTCCGTGTTTTATTGGTGGGATGCAGTTTTATGTTGGAATGCTGTGTTTTTCCTCCAAACACTTCTCATTCCAAATCAGAAACTTTTAATCTAATTTAAACACAAAACATTGTTCAGCCTTGTTCACATGACTTCAGCAAACTGCAGAAAGGCACCAGTGATCTTTTTAGAGAGCAGAGGCTTTTCATCTTGATGCTCAGTGTCGTCTTGGTTCTGAGAGACTCATTTTAGATGCTACAAGTTACTCCAGGGCAGGCTTGGCCAACTCCAGGCCTCGAGGGCCGGTGTCCTGCAGGTTTTAGATCTCACCCTACACACCTGAATCAAATGATTAGTTCATTACCAGGCCTCTGGAGAACTTGATATGTTGAGGAGGTCATTTAGACATTTAAATCAGCTGTGATGGATCAAGGACACATCTAAAACCTGCAGGACACCGGCTCTCGAGGCCTGGGTTTGGACACCACTGCTCTAGGGTCAGCTGTACTATAACACACCTCATTCTTGAAGGGATCTCTGTTGTCATTAAAATCGTTTAGTTTGAAGTCAGTCTGTTTGATTCTGGGTGGATGACTCCGCTGTGATGACTGGATGTGCACTGGATGGATTTCTTTGTGTCTCTTGTTTTACTTCTCATCTTCCTCTCATATAACTGACTCTGACACCTTGTGTTTCCCTTTCGTTGAGTGCAGTTGGAGAACTTCCTTCAGAAGAACAACAGGCGTGACGTTGCCAACATGCAGTCGCATGTCGTTCACAACCAAACGGCCACGATGCTGGAAATCGGCACGAACCTGCTCACGCACACAGCAGAGCAGACACGCAAGCTCCATGTGGTCGAAGCAAAGGTAAGGAGCTGCCAGTGAACCTGTCATCTGAAAACAGACTTTTGTGAGTTTATTCTCTGTTTTTGTTTCTCATCAGGTCCTAAACCACACATCTCAGATAGAGATAAAGCTTCTGGAGAATTCTCTGTCCACCAACAAGCTGGAAAAGGAACTGTTACTGCAAACTTCAGAGATCAGCCGGCTGCGAGATAAGAACAGGTGGGAAATGGTTTTGTTCTGTCAGCGTCTGCGTAGGTGGAAATTAATCATAAAACCAATTTAAAATCACTCTGAGTAAAGACAACGGCTAAAAGGACTACTTTTTCTACAATCGAATGCTTGTACAGGGTTTGTCCTGACTCAGAATTGGCCTTTGGGGGACATTTGATTAACAAAAACATCTGCTGTGAGTTAATCGAGTTAATAAAACCTCGGTTAACAAAACTAGTTAAGAAACTAGAATAATACAGGAAGGGATTGAAGCCTCTTGGAGTGAGGCAGGATTTCTTTTTTCTGTAGAAGAACAACTCGGCAATAGTGAAGTTAGCACATCACAACCTTTAAAAGCAGCCAAGTGATCATGTGAGACTGACATCATACGCTTCTACGACAGAGACATGTCGCAAAGTACCCGAACCTCATATAACCTCCTTTCTAACACTAATAAAGAGCACAGCTTGCAAAAGGAACATCATATTGTATTCATTAAGACTCCAGCTAGCAGCTGACCCTATAAAGTCACTGAGGTCATAGATCAGGTTAGCCTGAGGGTAGTTTTCCCATGCACTTTTATAAAACTAGACTTCTTTTGGCGTCAGAGAAATGAATCTGGGTTTGAGGCACTTCAGCGCTGACTTTACTCTCAGAACTGGAGACTATGTTTATCTTTTATATACTATGACCTCATCAGGATCCCAATGTTATATTTTGTCAAAACATAATGAAACTGATTGGATAATATGTGTATGACTGATGAGCTTTTCTAGAAGCTATTAATACATTTTTCGTTGCCCTCATAAAAATAAAGCCATTTTTTAATGAAAATGTAGCTGAAATATATCGAATCAAATGTTCATTTATGAAAATGATCATTAAGAAAAAATAGGTTTGCTGTAAACTGAATGTATACCAATCAAGTAAATCTAATTTTATCAGATTACATTAAATTTTATATTTTACATTCTACTTCTGTTATAAATTACATATAAAAATGTAAATTTTTTAAAAGCAAAAGTCAGTATTTTGGGTGTAAATCTTTGTTTCAAGTGTTCCTGAAATCAAACAAACAAAAATATTCTGACTGAAGGTTTTACTTGTTTTATGACAAGTTTGGGTAAAAAGGTGGATTTATTTTGTTATTTTCTTAGTATAGTTAGTAGAGGTTTTGACAGACTTCAAACACATTGTGTGTTCTTGTATTTATTACAGGTGGTCTAATACATTTAATAAGCACTGTATATATAAGCACTGTATATTCACCTGTTTGCAGTTTTATGTATTTGGAAGTCAAGTATTTATTTTTTCATGTTCAGATGATGTCGTTGGATCAGGCTTTGTGTGCTCGGTGCTGCAGCCCCCCGTGGGCTCCTGCACTGTGCTTGCTGGGTCTTTCTTTCTTTTTCTTTTCCCTCCCCCTGGTCTTGTCCGTTATGGTTGTAATGATCCAAAATAAAAAAATACCAATAAAATTCTAATAAAATGTGACTGTCAAGTGCACCATTATAACAAATGCCGTAATGCTCCACTTGTGAAAGTAAATCTGTTTGGCATTCAGAAAACAGTTCTGATTGCTACACTGCCGGACACGACAGCGAGAAGAAAAAAAAAGACTGGAGAAGGCTTATATACATTAGTTTTTGCAGGTAGCTGACAGATTTAGCATTCCTGCTACATATTGGATCTGCTTCTAGACATGATGTCAAAATGTTGCTTCTTCAACAGCGTGCGTCCATGATCAGCCTCTTTAATAGTGGCATATTTCTGAGATTTCCCCTGAGACAGATCAACATCTAAAACATATTCTGTTGCAGCCTGACAGGAAAAAAGACGAGCAGCTTATCGGTGACAACATCTGAAATACAAGCAAATCATCGCAGCGACGTAAATATGTCCTCAGCTGTTACTGCAAGACGCAGAAATATTTGGAGACACAATATTTTTGTCATTTTTCATTGTGAGGTGAACTTGGACCGTGCACTGTGCAGTAAAACATGCAGAGCAATTATCGAGCATGTTTACAGTAACAGACAAACAGAGTGCGGGTGTGTGAGACTGTGGTGCAAGCGGAGCATTCGCTGATGATCAGCCACAACATCAAAAGCACAAAGAAGTCGATAACAAATCAGTAACATTGATCATCTCGTTATCGTGAGATGTTCTGCTGGGAGCCCATCGTCCTGGCTTTCATGTGGATTTTACTTTGACATGTATGAAGGAAATAAGGCGATGAGACCTTTCTAAACAAATGTAGGTGTCATGTTTGGTCCAGATACAGAAAATGGGCAACCAAACCAGTCTGACAATGCAATCAAAGAAGAGCTGAGAACATGTCAGATGACATGATACAGATCTGAAATCTGTTAAAGTCCCAAGTTGGACTTTATCCAGCTTCATCTTCAAACTGAAGCCAAAGTAGATTGCATCACTGAACACATTATTAGCAACCGTGTCTAAGTTTGTGTCAACAAAACTGACGTCTTTGTGTCTTTTGTGCCCGATTGCTCCTGATTTCTAGGAGTAGAGACTTCTAGAAATCCTGAAACCATAAACACCCACACAATACATTTTTGGCTCGCATACTTTTGAGACCTCAGTAAAACAGCTGTCTGAATCTACAAGAGTACATAAACTTTGCACACACATTTTAACACACACATTCACAAACACCACTTCACTCATGCTGCACAAACCACAGCGATCAGTGGCTCCCCATCAGTCCACACCACATTAGCGTTTCCCCGTTCATGTGCGGGTCAGCATGTTGAAGTGATCAGAAGCAGAAGCTGATAGCGTGTTTCAGCTCCTAATGTGACCAAAGTCTCACCTGCTAATGTAGAATAACATCAGTCATCGCTGTAAACGAGCTGCATGATACAGCATGATGGTGGTTCAGGTCTGACTTATGTCAGCTACACCTCTCAGAAAGTGGACGTGTGGTTGTAAGATTCATATTCACATATTACAGAACTACAGCAGAGTATTGAAGCCTAAATCCTCTTGATATCAGTTTACTTATTTATGTAGAAAGTGTGTAAGGAATAAGTGTTTACTGTATACTACTGTATACTAAATTCAATTCTATTCTATTTTATTTATACAGTGCCAATCACAGCAGCAGTCGCCTCAAGGCGCTTCATATTGTAAGGTCGACTCTCCAATAATACACAGAGAAAAACCCAACAATCATATGACTCCCTATGAAATACCACTTTGGCGACAGTGGGAAGGAAAAACTCCCTTTTAACAGGAAGAAACTTCCGGCAGAACCAGGCTCAGGGAGGGGCGGGGCCATCTGCTGTGATTGGTTGGGGTGAGAGAAGGAAGACAGGATAAAGACATGCTGTGGAAGAGAGACAGAGATTATTAACAATGTTAAATGACATTATGTGTCAAATTTTTAATCTTAAAATCTAAAAAACTGCAGAATTAATGGTCCTTTGAATCAGCCTCAAGAGACTGTATGGTTGGCTACTTAGCATGCTAACACGCTAATCTCTGACGGTAAAGACACGAAATCTTATTGTGGAGCATTTAGCTGAGTGTTTTGTTAAAAAAACAGATGTTATGAGTGAGGCGTGGATCTGACAAAGACACTACATCAGGGGTGGGCAACTCCAGGCCTCGAGGGCCGGTGTCCTGCAGGTTTTAGATGTATCCTTGATCCAACACAGCTGATTCAAATTGCTGAATCACCACCTCAACATGTCTTGCCGTTCTCCAGAGGCCTGGGAATGAACTAATCATTTGATTCAGGTGTGTTGACCCAGGGTGAGATCTAAAATCTGGAGGACACCGGCACTCGAGGCCTGGAGTTGCCCACCCCTCCACTGCATGATCACATGGATGCAGTCTGTCAATCACAAAGTGTGTCCCGTCCTTCTCCACACTAACTGGGACCATCGTTTGCAAAATGAAGACTTGCAACGCAGTGATTGAGCCCATAGTGCCACCAGAAAGGTGTTTATCAAGACAGAAGTGAGAAGTGGTCAGTTGGATTTTTATTGCCTGGCTGTTTGGTGGCTTTGGTGGAACCAACAGCCGTGATCAACACTAATGTACAGTGTAAGGCCATGAGCATGGGTGTTGGATCCACATGGAGAAACTTTGACCCTTCAAAGTCTGAGTCTTCCTCATCAGCTATTTAATACTTTATTTAAAAGAAGTGTTCTGATAATGGCTGCCAGCAGTTAGTGTGTATTCAGCATATTTTCACCACATAAGTCACTTAGATGGAGCTTATTTGTAGAAACATTTAAAAGAAGATAACGTTTTTCCACTGGACTCCTGCAGACCAACGCACTCTTAGCGAGTTTGAACTAGAAGTTCAGCCACTTCGAGTGTCCCACGTTCCCCTCTGAAACTCCTGCCACTCCTTCATCGGGTTTCATTCATTTGGCTCATACTTTGTTGACCCAACTGTGGGCTGGAGTCTATTTTCAGCAGCTCTACTGCTGGTTCAGCTGCACAGATAACGAGAACTGTAGTCTGATCTGGCGCCAGAAATGATGGTCGCAATATTAATCTTTATTTCGCTGCTGCAGCTTCGCTAATGAGACGGAGTAATTCGGGAGGTAAAATCTCCGCTCCATCAAAAACAGAATAGAATATAGTCTTTCAGACCACCTTAATGTTTTTATCAAGATTTTGCTGCTCCTGCTCTTCACTTGGATGTAATTAGGATTTCTCAGGAAAGCCTTGATTTCTTCCTCTGTCCTATGCTGCTTGTTTGCATGCGTGTAAAGCTATTACAAGGGTAGAAATCGTGACTGAATAAAGTGAGCTGTTCCAGAACCCTTCTAGTTTACATTTTGGTTTTGTAAGTGTGGAATCTCCTGGGCCCTTTCCATTATTTCTTTACAAGTGTTTGTGTAACACCAGGCCTGCAGCACTAGAAAGGCAGCTTTTCTCTTTGCATCTGAAAAAGAAAGAAAAAAACAACCTGCACAAAAACTTGATCTCCCAAAAAATAATATTAGTCCTCAGGTTTTAAAAGACTCATACAGACAGTGGAATTTGTGCGATCTTGCAAATATCACAGAACAATTACTGACTCACATCTGAACTGTGAGGCAAACTGCGAAACCGCGTGCAGCGAAGGACACCAGCATCTCTTATGTTTAAGGAAGCTTCTTATTTCTGTTGTGATGACATTACTGAGTCTCATTTTTCCTTAGTACAACAAAAAATAGTGTGACAGCAGAGTTTATAACAGAAAGCCTTTGTATTCACATTTCCAGATATGAAAAATTTAAATCTAAGTGCAACGTATAAGAAAAAATATAGCAGAGGAGCAGAATGAGAAGCATGAAGTGATGGACTGCATAAGCAAACCCAGTTAGGATTTTCAGCCTGTGCTTCACCCAAAACCCTCCATCACCACAGTTCAACATGACTCTTGATAAAACTATTAAAACGTCACCATTACTCTCGTCCTCTGATGCTCCTGAGGGTGCCTAGTCTGACGGGATGACTGAGACTGTTATTCATTCAAGAATAAAGAAAATAAACTTTTGTCTGAAGTGAAGTCTCGTTTTATTTCCTGAGATTTTCTTCTGTTTTTCTTTTTGTTGCTTTGTTTTGCACTTTAGGGCCACCGCAGTCTAACCTGGTTAAAAGCAAACAGCATGCATAGAGCTGATAACACACACGAGTCAGAAAACTCACAGCAGAGCATTTTATTAACTTTGTTGGTTGTATCATCAAAACACAAAGATCTACTTTGTCTTTGATTTGTGTAAATTATGCAATCAAAGCATTTTTGCAGTTTCTTTGATTTACTTTATGGGAAAAAGCTCGGAAACAAAAACTGTGCTGCTGTGAGCTGAGTTGTTTTTTTCTTTTGTTTCAGTCATTTGGAGAGCAAAGTTCAGATGTTGGAGTCTAAGCAGCGAGGAGAGCTGGAGGACATGAGGCAGGAGAAGAATAGACTTCAAGTTAGTAAACCTTTGTAATTTTATATATCACCATCAGAAACATTTTTACGTTTATGAAATCAAATATCAGCATGGATTTTTGCCTCACGTGATATTTGTAAGCCCAAGTGGTTTAAAAACCACAAGCTTCTAAACTTGAGTGATAAATGTTAATTATAGAGTTTTAAGCACGTAGATGATGATTTCACTGCTGTAATCTGGGCTGTCTTGGCGAGGGAAAGTCAAGCATTACAAGAAATGTTAAAATCTGTAAAACTGTTAAATCATTCAAAGTAAAAAGTCAAAGTAAAGAACAAAAAAGTACATTTTCAAGTCTGTGGGGATGTAGAACCAAAGAGCTGAAAATGCTTAAACAGCAGTGAAACTTTTTTCTGGCTCAGTCCGTCATCAGGACTCAGATGGCGGCCATCGAGTCTTTAGAGAGGCGGCTGAGAGTCGCCAGCACCAACAACACCGCCCTGCAGAGACAACAGACGCAGCTGATGGAGTCTGTCCACACGCTCCTTAACATGGTGGCTAGTACTACAGGTACACACACACACACAGGTACACATGTAGTATTTTTCACACAGTACATTTATATTTCTCACAATCTTCTGGCGTTTTGATGTAGCAGCGCCTCCCAGGAGCCAGATGTGGAGGGACTGTGCAGATGCTTACAAGGCCGGTCACTATGTGAGCGGCCTGTATCACATCTACATCGGCAACAGGACTGAACCTGTGCAGGTAACGCCTCAACAGCAAACATGTGCAGTGTTGC